AACCGCTCCCGCCAAAATAATAGTTGGAATAAACTACAGCAACCAACCACAAAATTTAATAAATATCTTTAATTATCTTCCCAAACCAAAACAAAACTATTAAATAAGCTATTAAATAAGATATACGTTAATAAAACACCGATTAAAATAAAACTAAATAAATAAATATATAAGATAAGAAATAAAAATAAAAAATAAAAATGAAAATAAATAAAAACAAGCAAAATAAATTAACCCAAATAAATAAACAAATAAACAACTTCCGGCAAAATATCCGCCAAAATAGACTACCCACAATGCACCACTGGCCCGTATATATAAATAGCCGAGAAAACCAACACTCGTGGCCTGACGATTACGTCTATCATGAAACAACCAGTCGCCTCTAAGTGTTGACTTCAATGTTCACTTTTATATTTACACACGCTCTATCTCTGATATTGAGCACTTTATTCCATAAATATAGCACATCTTAAGACTATATTTCTTCATATATATATATATATATATATATAATATATATATATATATATATATGTAACACTTCTTTTAAACATGTTTTGTTAAATAATATCAACAAGTCCTCTCCATTTTTCAAATTTTGGATGTTTCGTGTTGCTTCATTAGTTCTCAAGGGATTATTTATTTTGTGTCTTTATGTAACTGTTTTTGGCGAATTCTGATGTTCCTTTGTTTACTGAAACCAATTTCCAGTTTCTCAAAGTGACGTCATTTCTAACGGTCAAACTAAATTTTACGTGTATTTTAATTTACTTTTTTATACACACTTCACCAGATGAATCACTATTGAGAAAGATACCTTATTTAATGACGTATCTTTCTCCATAACGTATATTGAGGTACGTATGAAAAAGATAATATAACACTCGAAACTAATTTGGGAATAAAACATAAAATGAAAAGGCACTTTGGTAAATTTACCGATTGTATAAAACAAATAACACGGGGAAAAAATGAATAAAAAAAATTAGATAGACAGAACAACTCAATATTATTGAACTAAACATGTTTGAAAGAGGTTTTACTGCCTATTTATACTTTATATATATATATATATATATATATATATATATATATATATATATATATATATATATAGGGGGGAGAAAGAGAAAGTGATGGAGAGAGAAGAAAGATTATGGGAGGAGAGAGACGTAGATAGGCTTTAAAAAAACAAACTCATGAAGAGACTACGTGAAAACAGAGTATGAAGGATGGTGTGGCTGTGTAGTGGGCCTTAGGCTTTGCTGTCGTTTCGTATGGTTTGCCAGAAGAGACATTGTCAGAATTGAAGAAAGAAAACGATCAACACAGCCCCAGGCGAGATTTCCATGCCCTCAACACGCTACGGTCTGTCAGTTTTGTCACGACAACCAAAAGGCATATAAAGTTTTACAAATAATTAATTCTACTCAAGAATATTTTTTAAAATTGTATTTAAATCTTTAAAAACTGCAATTTAGAATGCACGCAGGAGTATACTTATATACATATATATATAGGCATACTTGATCAGAAAGACAATTTCTAACCAATAGTTTCCATATATATATATATATATATATATATATATATATATATATATATATATATAAATATATTGTTTTGTTAAAAATAATTAAAACGCCAAAAATATATAACATGTTTTGTTAAATATATATTATTATGGAATTTAGTTTAAAAAATATATAACATGTAATGATTAAATAAAAATTCTTATATTTTATAGATCCAAAAAAATTAAAAATTCCCAGAAACTATTTAAGATGATCTTCAATCGGTATCCTGAAATTATTATATTTTATATATAGATATAAAATAAAATTAAAATTATAAAATAATTCCAAATCACTAAGAAGTCCCATGAAACAATTGTTTATAATTATTTAAATGAAATAAAATAAGCTCTGTTCCATCTTCAAGCGAAATTTTTTTTGGAATAACGTGTTTCTGAAATTTACGTGTTTTAAAAATTGAAACTAGACGAGGGTTAATACATCTTCCGTTTCAAATTTAGACACCCCCACCTTTCCCTGACTTGATATCTACGAAAGTAACTCTATACTGATACTTATTATTAACACCCAACACCCGCCGACCCAACTTAAAGAATTCGCCCTAGCTGTTACCATGGAAATTTTGATTTCAATTTTTAAAACACGTAAAATTCAGAAACACGTTATTCCAAAAAAAAAAAAAATTCGCTTGAAGATGGAACAGAGCTTATTTTAACTTATTTTAACTCAGTTTAATTTAAATAATTATATTGAAGTTTTCGGCTCTTGTTTTGAAACATGGGACTTCTTATGTCGCGATTTGGAATCATATTTTTAAATAAATAATTATATTTATGCTCTACTTTTGTATCGAGCACTATTTTTAAAAAATAATAACTAAAATACTAAGGGACTTTGGATTATTTACCAAACCAGTTCCTTCCTATTTTCTATATATTTTCACATATATATATATACTTCCTCCGTGCATTTTAAATTGTTGGCAAAACATTAGAAGGGGCACCATAAAAATGAAGAATATTCTGATCTGGAATTTGCTTCCTGATACAACCGGCCAGTGTGTATTTGGGTTCTTCCCTCCAGAATAGGGCTTGTTATGTAGCGCCATAGCCCAAATGGTTAAGTCAAATTGACAAATATAAATTTAAGCTAACATGGTCTGTGTCTACTTTTAAAGTTTTTTTTTTTTTTTTAACCCGTTAATTATATTTTTATGCATGATTAATATCAATGAACATCCATTCCTATGAAACAGAAATGAAAAAGAGAATAAGTTTTTAATAGAAATAACAGACTATTTGCATTTTTGCTATTCTGCAAAGATTTGTACTAGCTTGAGTTATAAGTATTTTACATTTAATCGAACCAACTTTAATGGCGCGTCTATCACGCTAACCTAATGGTGTCCCAAATGATGTGGTACGCCTCATAGGTGCAGTAGAAGAGGATAAGCAGGTGAGATGGAATGATTGAAAGACGATCAAAGATTTTGAAATAGTTTTAAAGAAATTCATATGCCAAAAATAAATATAATTTAAAAATGTTAAATATTATTATGGATTACTTGTAATTGCATGTATGAGTCCCAGTATAAAAAATATTTATAGATAATTATTGACCGATTTTATCATATTTTTGCATTATGCATATATATATATATATATATATATATATATATATATATATATGTGTGTGTGTGTGTGTGTGTGTGTGTGTGTGTGTGTGTGTGTGTGTGTGTGAAAGTGTATATAAATATAAATAAATATATATACGTATAATTATTTATATATTATATGCGGTACTTATTAGAAAGCGCTCAATATCAGAGATAGAGCTAACATATTTGTTGGATAGATGTGAGTTTGTTACCTGGGTTTCACGCTTTAGCGATCGTCAGACAAACCCTGACGATCGCTAAAGCGTGAAACCCAGTCTATCCAACAAATATATCATATATATATATCTATCCAATATATATATATATATATATATATATATATATGTATGTATGTATGTATATATATATATATATATATATATATATATATATATATATATATATATATATATATATATATATATATATATATATATATATATATATATATATATGTGTGTGTGTGTGTGTGTGTGTATACATATTATGATATATTTTGCATTAAGAATATATTAACTATGGTCTGCAAATTCGAGGAGAGAGTTATCAATGATAATGTCTTACTTTGAA